TAATACAGAAAATTGCGTTATCACAACAGACATTGATTGCTAGGGTCTAATAGATTTTTCATAGAAAGCGTAAAAATCAAGTGAGTGGGTTAAAAGTGTCTACTGTAAATGAAGTAATAGACAGTTCATGAGATAGGTGTTAATGAGTTTGTGTAGGTTTATGGCTAGTGTTGTTCGAGTGAGTGAATATTGACTGAATGAACACATAAAATTCATATTATTCCCTTTCTTTAATACATACAAGCAGTATTAACATTAGGGAAAAAAATTTTAGGTAAATAAGTACATAAATTCCGCTTTTATATTCTACCATAAATGAGTCTTCATTGGAGACTCTGGTCCTCCTATACCTAAGTAGCACTGAGAGATAGCCTTGCTTGGATAATAGGCACTCTTGGGATAAAAAAGGATGCGTGGGTAGGAGAGGTGAAGCGTAAAAAATAAAAAAGTTAACTTCTTATCACATGATGCCTAGAAGTTCTCAGCGCAGTGGACGTAGAAGCTCTGTTACTGTAGCCTCCATTGAGACTACTTAGCCAAGATTTCGCAAAAGCGGTCGTGGTGCTGCTGATTGTGTCTCACAGTGTGCTGAGAATATTGAATGCGCACGAGAGCTCTCATGTATGGGCTGCGGGAACAGACCTGAGGTAGATATTGGGTTATAGGTTTATTGAAGTTGTTGTTCAAGTTGGTGCACAGTACAATTGATAACCATGTAGATCATGGTTATTGTTCACATATTTGATAAAGATTGAAAATATTGATCTTAATGATTGATTATCTGGACTACCAAAGGAGGATAAAAATCAAGCTAAAGACTCTCATGATTATATGTTAAAACAGCAAAACGGTAAAATGCCGAGGAGAAGATATTAGATTAGTTTAAAGGTAAGTTATAAACAAGCATAGACATTATCCTATAGAAAGTTGTCACCGAATGTAACATTATAAATTACTATAAGTATTTTTCGTGGCTCCTCAGTATTCTAACAATACCGCATACAAATTTGTGAGCCTTGGCTTCACTCACAGAGGGTCCCTACACAATCCACAGGCGGTAGTGGTTCTTATTTGTTTTTCCATTGGAGCTCGAGAAACAGTACTGTCTATGATCGAAAGGTCTCCTTCACCACATACGCAAGCATTGAGACTCCACCATGAGTGTGCATGATATAGGATAATTCGCTAAAAAGAAATAAGGGCAGTTTCACACAAAAAGAAGAGAGCTTCGCAGCTATATAGGAAGCATTCAAAAGGAGGTTCTCTAGCTAGCATACTTATAGGTTAGCATAAGGTCGCGGAAGAACTTGATGGCTAAACTGGAATATATTAAAGACTCTGTTGTTAGGTTAGGTTGATTATAGCGTAACACTCAATGACCTTCTATTTCAGTTTGTAAATATTGAATTATATAAAAATTTCAGTTGGAAAGGGTGATCTGTGTATATCTGGGCCTATATATAATTCATATAAATGAGATATTTTACTCATACTAGTTCTTTCTAGTCTCTGTACCTTCTGTATTGAGCCCCTCAAGGCGTTCACTTTGGGCTAGATAGGAGGGAAGTCTGGAGAGAGAGCACCAGCCAAATTTGTTAGGAATCGTAATGATGTGAGTAATGGTGTATTCAGGAGATCTCCTCTTTGTCCATTGTGGACGTGACTGTGTAAATCCGTCTTTGTCTCTGCTCATGCACACAGACCAATGTAAGGCTATGTTCGTATGACTCTCGCAATTCAGTTGGTAGCGAGTTATTACAGCCATGATTTGGCATCCGGAGAACTTGTCGATAAGAAGGGACAAAGCAAGAATCATAGTTGCTCAGGTGCTTAAAACAAGAGGTACCTCCAGAAGAATACCTGATCAATAAATGATCAAAAATATAGTAAGAGAACATTGCTATATAGTTTGAATTGAAGGTTTAAATCGTATAAACATATACTATAACGTTAATGCCTTATATATAGACTAAATTTGTTGATGTGCACACATAAGCCATTATATGGGTACAATGTATCACTTAACCTGTGAACTCATACCTCATATGTTATCTATTACCCCTTATCTTAGTTTATGTGAGCAGTATATCCGATCTTTATGCCCACGAGATTACATTCTTTTTGGCTCTGTAGTAGGATGCTATGAATTCAATCCTTGGCTCTACACACAATCACAAAGAACAGAATTGTTATTGAAATTGTCAAGCCTGACCTTTCCAGAGAGGCAATGTTTATAGCAATAAAGGGAAGTGTAATTCGTGCTCTATGAACGGATGAAACATATAACGCTCAGCGATTAACAAGAAGTAATTATGGTAGTAATATAATCCATGCTTATCCCTACTGACGTAGTCCTATACGGTTATGTTGGCACATGTTCGCAACTCTAGTTACTCTAACTGCTTTACGCAGTAAGCTTTGACTTTATTGCAACTAGTCATCCGTCGTCGAGCTCCCTCGGATCATTCATGCGTTAGCTGCCTGTTAGCCCTACTACATGTTTCACTTCTTGTCACTCCCTGTCTAACCTCTGTGAGATGATTATATCTTCACTTTATTTCCTACAATGATGATATTTTTATAATTCTGCTCATCTCTAAAAGGAAAGCAAACAAGGTGAAACAACAATAAATTACATTTATGAGACAACAAAATCAGACAGGATACAAGTTATCAATACAAAGAGAAATCTTTCAATTATATATATCCTAACAAATTTCCAGTTTTCCCTTTAGCAAAATGATGCCCAATCAACAGAAGCAACAGAAAAAAAATCCATTAATAAAGAACCGATAACACAGTCCCTTCCAACGAATAAAATGACTTAAAAAAGCTGGTACCATCAACCAATAACAAGCTCTTACAACCCACCTGCACCAGGTAGTCATGCCTCCTTTTGAGCTCCATAGCAGCTCTCTCTTGTGCCTTTACATCATACTCACTGGGGTCAATGTCTATGCCTTCATCATAGACAAGGTCTGAGTCACAAAAAATGAACTCCCCATTGTCTGTGCCTTTGCCAATGGCTACAATTGCCTGTAATTGAGAAAATAAGTAATTATATCATCGTAACTTTAGAATTTTTCTAATCCTTGATTGTATTTCCTTTGTAGCCAAGATAATCATCAGTTAAGATCAAATAATTTTTCATCTTTTATCAAATTATGAACAGATAACCATGATCTACATGGTTATCAATTGTACTGTTGCACCACTTGAACAACAACCTTCAATAAACTATAACCCCAAATCTACCTCAAGGTCTGTTCCCCGCAGCCCATACATGAGGAGCTCTCGTGCTGCATCAATATTCTCAGGCACACGTGTGAGACATTCAGCAAGCACCCACGACCGCTTGCGAATCTTGGCTAAGTAGTCTTCAATGGAGGCTACAGTAACAGAGCTTCTACGCCACTGCTGCTGATATACCAGGTCACAATCCAGGCTAGAGCACAAAAGTGTTAATCAATTTAACATGTTTACAGTATTTCTTTTTCAGAATTAGACAATTTATGAGCTTTAATTTATATGTTGTAAAGCCAGAATAAAAAAATAAAGTTTGGATCAGTAATCAGTCTACTAGGAAATAATGTTAACAATTTTGTTGCTGAAAATTTATACAATAAAAAAAATCATATCATATTTCATTTATCATCATACTAGGACTGACAAGAATAGCCACATTAACCCACTGACATTGGAAGTAAATGTATTCATGCCATGTCCACTGTGATTTGATTTTATCTACTCTTTTTACAACTAGATAAGTCTAGAAAAGCTTAGTCACCAAGTAGTCAAAGACTAGGCCTATCTGATCTGACCTCTTTACATTATTTCTTGAGTTTTTGAAAAGAAAAGATTTGATTTTCACTAATACTATTACTGTAAATAATGTTTTAATAATAGCAGTAACAACAATAATAATAACTAGAAGCACTCAGAGAGCGCACACCTCCACCAATAAAAATATTCACACTTGAAGAATAACTTTAAATCACCTCTTTTTCGAGTACACTGGTGACAACCGTGTTTCCCAATCTTGCAATGCTAATGAATCCTTCAAAAAATTCCAGCATCAGGATCTGGATATGGATCACCACCAAAATATAATCGCTTGTAAGTTGGGTAAAAATTTCATAAAAAATCTGTTCATAACTTTTTGAGCTATCCTGCTAATCATCCTAAATCCAGATCATGACCAAAATTTATTAGCATGTAAGTTGGGCTAAGACACACCTTAGAATCCTAGTAATTGGCTTTTTGGTGACTAAGACTTTTAGATGTTAGCTATGTATAAACAAAACTGAAAAAAAAAAAAAAAAGTAGTGGACAATGCACATACCTGGAATCAATGGGTTAAAACAGAATGTCAAAACTTCTATTGCAAAATAAAACACATCACACACTGCATACTAATATAACCAGAAATTATTATACAAGTACTGTAGATGTCTGTGGAAAAAATATTGTACTTACTTATAGCTGCGAGCCAAGGCCAGAGCTTCCCCATATTCTTCATTCTCTATTTTTCTGGCAAATAGCTCCTCTGGAGTCGTGCTCTTGAGGCAAAGTAGACGGAAGGTCCTCTGAACGATCTTTGGTCTTTTGCTTGGTGGTCGAAATCTATACAGGGAGTATTGGGTCTGCATTATATACAACTTCTAATCCTTTATCACTTAACAACAATAATAATAAAAATGATAAAACAGTTCTCCTCATTCTGACAACATGCCCCTCATTAAAGAAAACACAGTATAGCAGCCAGTATACTGTAAACAGAACAACTTCAAATTCAACATCTTTCCTTCTTTCTTCATATAATGCACAACTGTAGTCAATCCTGCATGCAGAAGGATACCCACTTCACCTCAAATATCTACAAAATGGATGAACATCAAGAATCAGTGTACCATACATGATATCCATCTTTTTTGTACATCCAGGAGATAAGGCACATGCAGCATTAAGTGTGACCATAGATTATATGAAGATACTGTCATTCACTTCTTTATGCAGTTTCTAGTTCACTTTTTCATGTATAAAACGAATCTAGAGGAAAAATTATCCTGTTTTATTTCTTTATCATTACTCTTTTGTTTATTTTCTTTCAGTATTTCTGAAATTTTTGCTTTAGTCTAGCCAAAGTTTACAGATAAAACATTTTCATTTAGAATAAAAAATCTATGAATCATATGGAAAATACAAAAAAGTGGAACAATAATGACAATAGCTCCATCAATGAATTCCTAACATAATATAAATC